CACAGATCCTTGTGGGATGCTACTGGTTATATCTTGCCAATTTGAGGATCTATCCCCATTATCCCTAATTTCTGGTGGCTGCCACTCAACCAATTTCCTAACCATGTCAGTAATTTGCCCTCATTTCTGTGGGCTTCTACCTTTGTTAATAGTCTCTTATGAGAGTCTTTACCAAATGACAGAAATCCAGATAAACAACACCCATAGACATTTCCCTTGTGCACTACCTTAGTCACCTCTTCAACAACTTCAATGAGGTTTGTCAGGCATGACCTACCTGTCACAAATCTATGCTGGCTGTCCCTGATTAACAGAATTTACAATGTGCTCGGTTACCATATCCTTGATTATGGACTCCAACAATTTCCCACCACAGATGTTTAGGCTAACTGGCATATAATTCTCTGATTGTCCTCGATTGCCTTTCTTAAAAAATGAAATGATATGCAAGTTTCCAATCCAGAGGCATAACTCTTGTATGTGGGGAACTCTGAAAGATTAAAGTTAGGTTGTCCATAATGTGCTTCCCTACTTCCTTTAACACCCTCACTTAGAAACTGTCAAGCCCTTGGTATTTGTCACTCTTCAATTCCATTTATTTCCTCAATACTGATATTTTACTTCTGAATTTTATTCAGTATCTGTTCCTGATCCACTATTAATTTCCTCGGGACTTCCAGCAAGCTATCCTCCTGTTCTACTGTAAATATTGAGGAAATGTTATTATTCAACATGTCTGCCCTTTCCGCATAGTCATTGGCAATGTCCTCACTTTGTCTTCAGTGGTCCAAATTGCTCCTGACCACCCGCTTTCCCTTTATGTAACTATAACATTTCTTCTTATTGATTTTTGACATCCCTGGCATTTTTTTCTTTCATAATCCCTTTTGGTAGCTCTTAAAAGCTGATTTATAGCCTTTTGCTGGTCTTTGAATCTTTCCCATTCAGCAGGTTTTAGCTTTTATTTGCATTTTGAAAGGCCTTTCTTATAGTTTTAAATTGTCCCTTATCTCATTAATTGTCCGTGGCAGTTTTTTTCCTGTGAGGTGGAGCTTCCCCTCTTGAATATAAACTGATTTTGTATTGCTTTAAATGTTTCTTTAAACATTCTCCACTGTTCTTTAGTTGTTTTACCCATTAGCATATTTTCCCAGTTTACTGTGGACAATCTCTGTCTCAGCCTTGGCTAAATCTAAAACTTTAGTTGCTGATTCATGCATTTTGCTTTCAAACACTACATTGAGCTCAATTATGTTGTGATCGCTATTTGATAAGTGTTCACTTTATTACTAAATCCAATATTGTTTATCCCTTAGTTTTGCAATTCAAGCCATGTCTCTGTTATTGCTACTACAACATATACTTGTGTGGTCTTCTGTGCCTGTAACTCACCAATCTTATTTACCACTTTTTACTTTCTTTCTGTCACTGAATCCATCTAATAACTTACTGTTACTAGTACTATCTGTCTTTCACAGGATCCTTTGCACATGCTATCTCTATTATTAACTTCTGATTCCCACACTCTGGTTATGTTGTTCTAAACACTACCAAATAGCTTGAGTAAATCAGCTTGGAGGTAAATTGTTTCCATTTCTGTTTAAGAGTAACCCCTCCTATCTGTATGAGTCACATCTTCTCCAGAACTGACTTAAATGTTCCTGCAATCTAACACCTTTCCTCTTACGCCAACTCTCCAGGTGCACATTTACCTGCTTTATCTTCCTGTTTCTAAACTTACTTGCGTGTGACACTAGGAGTAATTCAGAAATTATTACTTTTGCATTCCTGCCCGCTATTTTCATATCTATCCCCCTAAATTTTGACTGCAGTTATGCATCCCTTATTAGGAAACTCGTAGAAACGGTTAATATTTGGAAAACTTTGGATGTCCAGAACTTGAACGTCTTGAACTTCACCATCTAGGACCAGGCCAAAGTGCCACAGCTGTTAGGAACTCACTTTCTCCTCTGTGAACTACCTTTTCTCCAAGGTAAAACCAAATTCATGGGTATCCACCTGTTAACTCTCCAACACTTCAAAACTTCAACTGTGGACTTTTCAGCTGAAACCTTAGTTTCACAACTTTCTTGCTAATATGGTACTACTAGCATGGCTTTGGCTGCACTCCCCTGATGTTATGAACCATCACTTTCATCAGTATTCAGGACTTGATTGGAGCGTGAGATGCACTCAGTGTCTCCTGGACAACTTATCTCTCTCCCTGCAGAGTGACTATTATCTGTAGGCATGCTGTCCACCCTGCCCAAGCACAAGAATCCAGAACTCATGCTGCTACAGCTGACGATATTTCTAGCACTTGTAGTTACCAGAACAAAGGAACTTATCTTTTTTTGCTATCATTTAGACATAAATTGTATACATAAGACTTAATGTCAAGTTTTGATATTTATTTCCTTGCTTCTTGGAAGAATAAAAGATTAGAATTTTATAAAAACATTCAATTAATCCATGACATTATTATGTTGCAGTTGTTTATTCCCCACCTTCACTTCAGTGATCCTAACTTTCTCAGCATCACTCTCACTTCAGTGATGCTGACTTGCTTCCCAGTCCAGTTGGTAGTGATCCTGACTCACTGCACACTCCTCCCAGTGTGCTCCACAGTGATCCTGATCTGCGGCACACACTCCCCAGTCTGCTTCAGTAATCCTGGCCATTTTGAGGGATTGGATTATTATCTGCAAAGGAGCAAAGTTATGGGAAGAGGGACAGTGTGTGTCACTAGGGAATTTGCTCCTTTGGAGAGAGAGCACAGACGTAATGGGTTAATTGGCTTCCTGTGCTCTAACTTTCTTTGATTAGTAAACTAATGTCCTGAAAGCATGATTGTGAAAAAAATTGACTTGTAACAAAAAGTTAGCTGATGTGCTGAGATCCTTCAGGCTAGCCGGTTCTGCTATCCTGATGTAAGTTGATTGGAGGAGTTCTTGTTGGAGGCGTTGTTAAAATCTGGGAATGGTGATGATGAGGGAGATGTCTTTGTGTGGTTGGTGATCCTGGTGGTTTATCAGGCTGCGTGAAAGCACTTCACCTCAGAATTTACAAATTCTTCTTGTTGTTACTGCAGTAGAATCCAACTGTGAGTTGTTTAGCTTCCATTCTTGGCCATTAAATAAACGTGTTTGCAGTTCAGAAGTACTTTTTAACACACTAGGAATGTATTGAGGTGCTATATCAATGCTAGTTCTTTTAAATTCTCTAACAATCTCTCAGTTTTTGTTCAATGATTTGGTTGAGTCCTTTTGGGGAGTTAACCATTTTTTAAAACTGAAGTTTTGTGCATAATAAGAAAAACACCAAGAAAGATGAGGGTTTGTTGTTGAAGGTATTTTTAATACAGCTATGCTTTTCTTTTATTCAAAGGATCTCTGAACCCAAGTTCTTTGTGAAGTGGAATTTTTCATTCATGTCTTTTAAAATAGTATAATAACAAACCTTTAGCCTCTTGAAATCACCTAATTTGTGCAAAACTTTGCAATTACTTTTATTCCTATTTACTTTGGCTTAAATTCTGTTAAAACAACTTCCAACTCTGTTAATAAAAACTGAAAGAACTCTGGATGCTGTAAATCAGGAACAAAAACAGAAGTTGCTGGAAAAGCTCAGCAGGTCTGGCAGCACCTGTGAAGAAAAAAATCAGCTAATGTTTCCGGTCCAGTGACCCTTCCGCAGAACTTGAACTTCCTCAGTTCTGAGGAAGGGTCACCGGACCTGAAATGTTAACTCTGATGTTTTCTTCACAGATGCTGCCAGACCTGCTGACTTTTCCAGTAACTTCTGTTTTTATTCCAACTTTGTTATGTGGGCCTGCTAAAATTGTTTGGCTTGAATCCTGCACAGGTATACCTTTTGTAATCATATTAAAGTTTTCAGCAATGTTGTATATTTATTTCAGGGGCCAGAACTCTTCCAGCATTTGCACTCATTTGTTAGCATTGTCCACTGGAGGTCAGTGTTGTTCCCTTGAACAATTTTTTTTGTGCCAGACAACAGCAGTTATTAATCTTTGGTTTTTTCCATTTTACATCAGTATGCTTTGTCTCGTTTTGAATTATGAAACAGGTAACCGTTTAATTCAGAGATTTTTCCGAGCGCTGTGTCATATTTTTGACCTGTACATGAAATTCCATTCAAAATATACAGTAGCCATGTCACTAAAATGATATTTTAAATGACGTTATCACTTTGCTGCTGATGCACTTTCTGTTAGATGCACAAAGCATCAGAGCAGTCATAGTCTTTTGCCCCTGTGTATGTGTTTTATTCTCGAGTGATTTTGCATTAATTTAAAATTCTAAGTCTACATGTGTTCTGTTTGACTGGCTTAACCACTAAAGTAGATAACTTAATGTGTTAAATATATATTCAGAATATTCTGATTATATTCATGGCTTTCAACTGTTTATCAATTGTAAGTTGGCCTATCTATGATTCTCTTAATTGGTGATGCATTGGATTCTTAATGGAAATTAAAACCTTTTCAAACTATACATCTCAGGCAGTTAATTATTTACAGGGTAGAATCAGACCATTTGGCCCAATAGGTTTATTAATTCAAATGCACTTAATGATTGATAAGTATTTTGTGATAAAGTATCAGTATTTTGAGACATGACATCCAGTAAGTATAGACTGCTTGAGTAAAAAGATAACCTACATCAGATTTTCTGGTGTTTTTATGAAATATTATTTGACATTGGTGTAGACTAACTGATAAATGTTCTTGGTGTGTTTCATTAACAATTCATTTCCTGTTCCATGTGACTATCAGAGTAGTAAATTGGGTTGACTTTAAGACATGTTTTCATTCACCAATTCTTAGTTTTCTGAATCCTACATGGGAACGTAAATTGTATTTGTGAGTGCAGAAAATTGGAAAGTAAAACCAGTTTTGTGGTTGGCTTGTCATTGACTACTTAAGTTCAATTGCTCTCCTCGTAAACACTTCTGAAATAGTTATTGTTTCTTTTATACAGTTGAGAGTCGTGTCCGTCCTCTTGTGCTGGTTGTGAAAAAGTGGGCCCGTTACCATGGAATTAATGATGCTAGCCGTGGCACATTGAGTAGTTACTCTTTGGTACTGATGGTGTTACACTACCTACAAAGTAAGTCTGGCCCTCCCTAAAGCAGTGTATGTATGTTTGTGACTGTCTGCTTTAATGATGTTGAGTAAACCAGTGGGGATTTTTAGACCTTGACGCTAAAACTTCATGCTTGACTCTTTATCCATACCAGACTTTACAAAATGCTCCCTGATTGTTTATATTCTTAAATTTATGTTCCAAGAACTCCCAAAGTAACCCGGACCTGGTTTTGGGAGCTCAGGGGCATGATATGGGAATTGCTGGTAACTTTGAATGAGAAGATAGATGCAGCTGTCCATGCCTGCCAGATATTCTACCTTGGCTGTTCACCTTATCCATGCCCATCACCATGTTATAAACTTCTATAATGTCACCCCTCATCCTCCAACACTCCAGGGAAAATAGCCCCAGCCTATTCAGCCTGTCCCTGTAACTCAAACCCTCCAACCCTGGCAACATCCTTGTAAATCTTTTCTGAACCCTTTTAAGTTTCACAACATTTTCCCTACCATAGGGAGACCAGAATTGAACAGTAATAATTTTAAATCAGCAGGCAGAAGGGAACATGGAACTTGGCAAAATTACAATCACAAGGGAAGTGGTACTAAGAATTTTAGGGAATTGCAAGCTGACAAGTCTCCAGATCCAGATAGATTTCATCCTAGGAACTTGAAAGAAGTTGCTAATGAGGTAGTGGGTGCCTCTGTGTTAATTTTCCAGAAGTCCCTAGATAGCAAATATAACGCCTGTCTTCAAGAGGGAGGGAGGGAGGCATAAAACAACAAACTGTAGGTCAGCTAGCTTGATTCCTGATATCTAGTAAGGTATTAGAATTGATCATGGAAGGGATTAAAGCTGCACACTTTGAAAAACTCAAAGTAATTGGGAAACGCTGCATGATTTTGTCAAGGGGAAATTATGTTTTACCAAATTATTGGAATCCTTTGAAGAAATACCATGTTTTGTGGATAAAGTGGAGCTTATAGGCATGTGTTTGTTGGATTTCCAGAAGTCATTTGATCAGATGCCACATTTATTGTGAAAAATAAAAGATCATGGCATATGGAGTAGCATATTAACATGGATAGTAGATTGGCTGGCTAGCTGGCAGAATACAAAATGCATAAATGGGTCTTTGCTTGATTGGCAGGATATAATGAGTAAAGTCCTGCAAGGGTCTGTTCTGAGGGCTCCCCTTTCTGCAATGAGGAGGAAGCGAAGGTATGTTATCTAAATTCATAGATCATACCAAGATAAGTAGGAAAGTACATTGTGAAGAAAACATAATAAAGTTACAGATAGGTATAGATATGTTGTGAGAGTGGGCAAAAGAATAGTGCATGGAATGCTTTGTGGGAAAATGTTCACTTTGACAGCAAATGGAGGAAGGTTGCAGAATTCAGAGGTGCAGATGGACTTAGGTGTTCTGGTTCATGAGTTCAAAAAAAAGTTTGTGCATGGACATAGTATGTAACTAAGAAGCCTAGCGGAATGCTATATTTTATTATGAAAGCAATTGCGCGTAGTAGTAAGGATGTTCATGCTTCAATTATACAGAACTTTGACACCACATTAAACTACTGTGTGGAGTTTTGGACTCCTTATTTAAGAAGGGATGGAAATGTATTGAAGGTGACTCAAGAGGTTTACAAGATTGATACCTGGAATGAGTTGATTGCCTCATGAGGATAAGTTTGATAGACTGGGCTTGTTTCCACTAGTGTTTAGGAAAGTAAGGGATAACTTGATTGAAGATTGATAAGACCCTGGATGGTCTTATCAAGGTGGATGTGGAAAAGAATTTTTTTTTTTTTTTTTTTGTTTTGTAAGTCAGTCCAGACAACGGACACTATTTTAAAATTGAGGGTTGCACTTTCAGGGCCGGAATGGTGACCTTTTTCCTCTATCAGCAGGTTTGGAATGCAGTGGAAATAGGGTAGCTAAATATTTTAAAGACACAGGTAGATAGATTCTTCTTAGGCAGAGGAATCTAGGTTATTGCAGGTGAATGGGAATTGGAATTTGAAACACGAATGGATCAAGCATGATCTTACTGAATGGCAGAGCAAGCTTGAGGGGCTGAATGGTTTACATCTCCTATTTCCTATGTTCTGTAACTGGTGTTAAGCTACAAGCATCAGTACTAGAATCTCTGCTATTTACAATTTATTTTCATGAGCTGGGCAAAGTGTCAGGGCAATTGTACCCAAGTTTGCTGATGATACTAAGGAATCCAAACTGTAGGAGGATATATTTCAAAGACTTTTACATTGTTGAGTGGCAACAAGGTGGCAGATGGGGTGTATTCTAGGGATGTATGGCGTTATTAATTTTGATGAGTAGAAAAGCAGATTTTCTTTTTTAAAATTTGTGAATCATGTAAATTGTTTTGGTGCTCAAAAGAACTTTGATATGTGGGTACAAGGACATCAGGTTGGCCCGCAAGTGGTATGATAGCCCTTGTGTGATGAAAGGTATGAAATTTTTAAATGCATGTAATTGTTTTAAAAAGGTTGCACTTTAAACTAGTGGCATATGAGTGTTAGTTAATTTTTGTAAAGTGATTTTTAAAAAAGAACTGGATCAGTCTTTCTGGATCTATGATTTTAAAGCAATATGTGTCTCTTGGGCCATTGATGGAAGGTAATTTATACTGTGGGATTTTACAATCATAGAAATTAATTTAGCAGAGTGTAGGATGAGCAAATTTATTTTTTAACTTTAATTCAGAAGCTTTTGGGCAGTTGGAAGGAGATCTGCCTAGGTTCAGTCACAAGTAGCAATCTCAAGAGACCAGAAGATTGGTTGGAACAGTTAAGGAAGTAAATTACTTCTGTGAAACCAGTTAGTGTGTAAAACTTCCAAACCAGAGTGTTTGGTTAGAATTTTGCAGATTATTGAGAGACTGAGAAAGTTTAAGGTCTCAGTTGTTTGAATGTTTATGCAAAATGGGTTCACATCTCATGGGACTGAAATGTGAAGCAGCAGTTATGTCAAATCTATAGATTTGATAGGGAAGGAATTTCTCTGGATTATTGATTAAATATGATGTGGTGTTGAAGAGTAGTTGGGATTTTGTTTGTCCCTTTGTTTTGAAATCTTTCAAATTGCTTTATAGTTGGATAGCTTGACTTGTTCTCATTTTATTTTTGCTTTTCTTGTGTAATAAACTTCTGTTCTGATGTTCAAACCAAACCTGCAGTTTTGTGTGCTCACATTTATGAAAGATGGCTATGTTAAATTTTTTAAAAAGACAAAATTTGATCTATCAGGTTGGAGTTTATCCTGGGATCTAACTTGTCCAGTGGTAACATCCACTGGGATCATAACAATTACAAGGCATTTGGAGTAAAAGAGTAAGCAAGTCTTTTTACAGTTATAGAGGGCTTTGGTGTGAGCACACTATGTCTGTGATCCTGAATTAAGAATGAAAATTCAGACCTCAGTTTATAAAACCAAGTAGAATTTTCTTTCCTGACAATATATGTGTAACTACACAAGGGTCTGGAGCTAGCTTTTATGTCTGATCAAAATAACTTGCGAGAAAACTTGTCATTGTCTATTCTCAACAGTCATCTAAGAGTACATCTGTACTCATTCGGTTGAAAGTTAGAAAAAGTAGGGACCCATCAACCATCTCTCCTATGTCCATAACAGTCGGAATTTTTTGGTTAGCATTCTTTTTCTTTATTTTGAATGGTGAAAATGTTAGCAGTATGTTTCATTTAAAACATTTAATGCATAGCTTCTATCACATATATTTCAATGACTTAATTGAAATATTGATTTGAAGCTTGCACTATGGATATACTGTATAACATTTAAGAGAGACATTCCTGTTTGTTTAATGTGAATATGTAGTTAGCAGAATTTCCGGGCATGCCATTTGCATCAAATGTTAAAGGATGCAACCTTTTATTCTATGAGGTTTAGAGTTTTCTGTTCCTCCCAGAAGATGCAGGTAGAAGGTTGCAACTAAAATTCCAATTTTATTGTAATGAATTAGTATCAAATATTACAATGATGTGTTTCTGATTGATACCTCAAAATAACAAGCAATTATCCTTGAATAATGCAGTATATGTGAGAAGCAGCATTATGAATAACAATAACTGTTTGTTTTTTCCCATTGGAAAAATAAAATATTTGGAAATGTTGTTGAATCAATCATGTAATTTTGGTTAGAATATCTATACTGAAACTTAATACTGTCTATAACTATAAATATTTGGAATTTTTTGTATTTTTACGAATTATTTTTAAGTTCTGAAAATTTCTTAAAAGATTATGTGTTAAGTTTGCTAAACAGTTCTCACTGGATTACATTTCTAAAAATTATGTGCCCAAAATTAATTTGAAAAGGCAATTTAAAAAAATAATGGAACTGACTTGCGATGAATAGAATGTTATTGGATTATTGATATAGAGCAATAGTTAGATGGTGGAGGCCCTTTTTAAAAAGCTGATAACAGTCTGAGCTGCAGTCTCCATGTTGATTATATCCAAAAATGGTAACCTGTGCTTTCATTTTAAAATTCATTCATGAGATGCAGGCATCACAGGCTAGGCCAGTATTTATTATCTCTTCGCATTACCCAGAGGTCAGTTAAGAATCACTTGCATTGTTGTGGATGTGGAGTCCCATCTAGGCCAGACCAGATAAGGACGGCAGATTTCCTTACCTAAAGCACGTTAGTGAACCAGGTGGATTGACAACTGAGTTGAAGGTTATGGGGAATAGGCAGAAAAGTGAGGTTAAGACCACAATCAGATCAGCCATGATCTTAATGGCAAAGCAGAGCTGTATGGGTAAATCGGCTATGGTGCATTTATTTTTCTTACGTTCTTGCATTCTTATTTCACTTTTCTTGTTTCTATTAAAGCTCTACCTGAACCCGTCATTCCATCTCTTCAGAAAGAGTATCCAGTAAGTAACATTTTCATTTCTGTGACTGAAATGATATTAACACTAAAATGTTTTGAATACTATTTTCAATCCAAACCATACAATTCAATACCCAGTCAAAAATTTAGTTGTAATTTCTATCTGGTTTTGTATAGTGCAAGCTGCTTGCGTCTGGAACATTGTTTATTGCAAAAACTGGTAGAGTTTTTATTTGAATCCAAGCTATTGACCGTAGTTTTGCTGATCTCCAACATCATCTTGTGTTCTCTTTTGAGAACTTCAAAATCTCAATTTCTATGAATTATTTAGGATAACAAATGCATTACAGGTTTAATTGTTCATCAGTATGAAATGGACTATCCTGAAATGGTCCAAATTATGTTGAATCAACAAAAATTTGTAGTACCAAAGCAACAGGAGTAAAAATTGATTGAAAAAATGTATGGCTAATGGATTCAGTGTTGCTCAGTGTCATTGACTAATACAAGTACTTTTTATTGGCACAGGTTTAATATATTCAGTGATTAGGAGCTGTTGTGTTGATATTTATATATTCCCTTGTTCTGGCTCCAGACTTAACCAAGCCCTATACCTGCCAATGTACTGGTAATTGCTAATACCTAACCTCACGGAGTCTCTATATAGACTGTTTCCTTATAGTAAATATCCAGTTAATAGGCTAGATGGGACTGTCCATTTTTAGCAGTTAAGTGTCACAGTTGTGTTCCAAATGCAGGCTGTCTGTAAGCAGTGCCATGGGAGATGATTACCGAATTCTAGGTTTCTGAATTGAACCCAGAGCTGGTTTATGCTGATTACGTTTTATTAGAAATGGAAGGAGGAAAATTATGTCTGATGCTGTCTGTTAATTTAGGTTTCCTTTTTCTCCAGTGGGAGTACTTGGAGTTCCTCCTTGCATCAAAAAATGAGGGGTAACTTGCAATTCTGCAAAAGAAAAATGTACATTTAGAAGATGTCTAATAGGATGCATCTGAGCAATATTACCACTTTCTTGTTTTAGTATTAACATCACCAAATTTCCATATTCATGATTTTCGCATTTTTGTACTTTGTTTTCTTTATATGTTGTATTCAAGGATTTAAAAATGTATCACTCATTTCAAGGATCAATTTGAATATTTTTAGGAGTGCTTTGAGCCCACTATGCAGCTGCAGTTTGTGCACCGAAGAGGAAGTAACATTACTCCATACCTCTCATTAAATAGCTCAAACCTGGGAGACCTGCTCGTGGGGTTTCTGCGATACTATGCTACAGAATTTGAGTAAGTAGATTTTTTTAAAATATAGAATGGACATTGGTAGCATATTTGGAAGTAATTGAAAAATAGGTATAGTTAAAATCTGACTCTTTTCTTTTCCAACCAATGTTTTTTAAATTACTTGGCTTAACCCATCTAACACCAGAATCTCATTTATGCCTTTACTGTCTTCAGACGCAATATTCCAAAACTCTCAATAGCCAGCCTCCCATCCTTCATCCTTTGTAAACCCCACCCTCCTGAATTGCATTGGCTGCCAACATGCCCAAGTCAAAATGTTCATCTTTCATGGTCTCACTCCTCTCTCTCGTTGTACACCTGTAAAGTGCTGTAGTCCTGTGACTTTCTCCGGTCCTATACCCACCTCCAAATGCCCTCCATTCTACAGGTCTTTTGACATCCCTACTCTATTCACCATATTGAATTTCCTTTTCCTCTTTGGTCTCTCCATGTCCCCTTCCTTTTTGAGACTTAACAATTTTGTGCGAAACAGCATAAGCAGCAAATGATAGATAGGGCTAAGTGATTCCACAACCAACAAAACTGCAACACTACTACACCTAGTCATGAACCGTGGTGGACAATTAAACAAATCGAAGGCTGAGGGTGACTTTATAGAGGTTTATAAAATCATAAGGGCCATGGATAGCATGAAAAGCCAAGGTCTTTTTGGGCGGGGGAGTCCAAAACTAGAGGGCACAGGTTTATGGTGAGAGGGGAAAGATTTAAAAAAGGGATAACTTTTTCATGCAGGGTGGTGCGTATATGGAACGAGCCTGCCAGAGGAAGAAGAAGGGTAGAATCAGAATAATTAAAAAGCATCTGGATGGGGTTATGAATAGGAAGGGTTTAGAGGGATATGTGTCAAATTCTGGCAAATGGGCTAGGTCAGAATGGGATGTCTAGTTGGCATGGATGAGTTGGACTGAAGTATGACTCTGCAACTCCATAGGGGCTCCACAAATATCCACATTCAATGATGGAAGATTTCCACATAACAGTACAAAAGATAAGGCTGAAGTATTCTCAGCAATCTTTAGCCAGACAATCCGTCCTGGCCTCATCTAGAGATCCCCAACATCATAGATGCTGGTCTTCAGCCGATGAAATTCACTCCACGTGATATAAAGAAACAGATGAATGTGTTGGATGCTACAAAGGCTATGGGCCCTGATAACATTCCAGCAATAGTACTGAAGACATCCCAGAGCCTGCCAAGCTGTTCAAGTACACCTGCAACACTGGTATCTACCCAATCAATGTGGAAAATTGCCCAGATATTTCCTGTACACACAAAACAGAACCAGTGTCATTTAGCCAATAATCATCCCACCAGTTCCCAATCACAGTGATGGAAGGGGTTTTCACCAGTGGTGTCAAGCAGCACGGGCTTAGTAATAAACTACTCACCTCGTCAATTTGGGTTCTGCCAAAGCCACTGAGCTCTTGCCCTCATTGCAGTCTGTGTTCAAACATGGACAAAAGAGCTGGCCTGCAGATGTGAGGTGAGAATGACTGCTGTGAACATCAAAGCTGCATTTGACCCAGTGTCACATTAAGTAGCCCTAGCAAAGCTAGGGTCACTGGGGTCAGGGAGAAAACTCTCCAGTAGTTGGAGTCATACCTCGCAGAAAGGAAGGTTGTTGTCGGAGACCAGTCATCTCCACTCCAAGGCATCTTTGCAGAAGTTCCTCAGAATGGGCTCAATGTTTCATCAATGGTCTTCGTTTCATCATAAGGTCAGAAGTGGGGATGTTCGCTGATGGCTGTAAAACATTCAGCACCATTTGCAAATCCTCCAACAGAACCGGGAAAATTTCCGGATTTGAGTTGACAAGTGGCAAGTAACCTTCATGCCACAAGTGACAGGCAACAGTCATCCCCAACAAGAGAGAATCTGACTATTACCCCTTGGTGTTCAATAGACTGAGTATCGCTGAATCCAATATCCCCATATAAGTACTGTGGCTGCAAGGGCAGGTCAGAGCCTAAGAATCTTGTAGGGAGTAGCTCACCACCTGACTCCCTAAAGCCTGTCCAAATCTACAAAGCACAAGTCAAGGATGTGATGCAGCAAAGACTTCCACTCGCTTGATTGAGTGAATATGGCTCCAACAACATGCAGGAAGCTTGATTGCATCCAGAACAAAGCAACCTACTTGATTGGTGCCAAACATTCACTCCCAACACCACCAGTGCCCAGCATAGCAGTGTATACATTTAAAAGATGCACTGCAGAAATTCACTAAAGATCCTTAGTGGTGAGGTTTGGGATAGGCTTTGGTCTATCAGGTGAGGTTGAGCTAGAGTGAAGGTGGGAGGAATAATGTTGAATAAAGAGAAGAAATGCTGGTGTCAGGAGTCGCTGGTGAGTTGGGAGTCTAGTTAACAGTTACCCAGGAGTTAGAGTAGATTCTTAATCCTCTGATTTTTACTACATACCTACAAAAGCTGAGATAACCACGATGCTCAAATTTTCCTCCTTTAATTACCTTTTTTTTGGAAGTTTCCAGACAAAGGAAGAGCCCATTTAAAAATTAAATTTCATGGGCAATTCCCATGGAATTGGCATGCATTGGGGATTTTGTATGGTTTCAATGTAAAACTCTAGTTTCTGCTGCTCCAGCGGCTGTTTGATTATTAGAATATCTGGGCCATTATATTGTTAGAGACTAAAGATAGGAGGATTTTAGTATTCGTAAAAAGACCAATAAATTTATGTGGAATGAGAAAATAGGAGACTAGCAAGAGACAGAAAAATTTTAGACACATTTCTATATGGAAATAGCAAATGATTAGTACAGGGCCAGGTGAAATTATAGTGGGCAGTAAGGAAATGACAGTCACATTAAACAAGTACTTTCTACCTGTCTTGACAGTAGAAAACATACAAAAGGGGGACCTGTGTTTAGCACAAATAAGGCACTTGAAGAAAAAAGTTAACAAAGTAAACGTTCTGGAGAGGTTAGTGGGACAAAGTGATGATAAACTCCCTTGAATCTAAACAACTGCATCCTATGGTCTGAGAAGAGAGAGCTTCAAAGATGGTGGGTACATTCATATTTATCTTCCAGAATTCATTGGATTCTAGAAGAGTTTGCAAGGATTAGAATTTAGCAAGCATAACCTGTTGTTTATGGGTTGAAAGGATTGTCCAATGATGACAGATTAACTAGTCTCAGTTTACATACCCTGGATTTAGAAGAATTAGAAGAGATATGATGAAGAATAAAATTCTTGAGCATGGCAGGATAGATGCGAAGAAAATATTTCCCCTTGCTGGGCCATCTAGAAAATGGGGTCAAAAATTTCAGAATGAGGGTTTTCTTTGTTCTTTCACAAGATGTTTCATTGTTGGCTAGAGCAGCATTTGTTGGGCATCCCTAATTGCCCTTAAGTAAGTAGTGGTCAGGTGCTGCTATGAATTGTTGCTATGTGTGGCTGTTCAGAAGCAAGTTCCAGGATAGGATGGTGTTTGCCATAGAGAGGAATTTTTCAGGTCATGGTAATCCTATGTGTTTGCTTGCCCTGTATTTCTTGGTGGTAGAGATCATGGGTTTAGAAGGTACTGAGGAAGGAGCCACAATGAGTTCTTGCAGTGTATTTTGTCGATCAATGGTCTCTAACCTTCTTAGCATAATATCACTTTTTAAATTTATGTGCAACCCAGGATCTATCTTGAAGAAAATATGGATTTAACAGTTAATTTTCGTACCATGTAAATATAAAGCCAAGTTGTGTCAGTCATGAATGGATTCATCAAACTGCAGTGAGAAGCATTGACAGTGCTTCAGGTCCTGCTGTCATTGCTGAAAGACGTCTTTAGTCAAAGATTCCACTCATCTTGTTATTGAGGAAGCACCAAGTGACATGCTCAGGAATGCTGTTATTTTTCTTTGTTCTTAAGTCCTTGAATACAGAGTCAGCAAACCTTGTCTTCTTTAATTACTTTATCATTTGTGAATGATTTCTTGTGTTTATCCAGAAGATAGCAAATCTGAAATGATGTTTCAGGTTTGTCTGCTGTATTCGCTGTTCACAATGTGGTCTCTCGTACGTTGGAGAAACAAAGCTCAGACTGGGTAACCGGTTCACAGAACACCTACGTTGTGGACACAAAAAAGACTCCGAGCTTCCAGTCACTTGTCACTTCAACACACCACTGTGTTCTCTGGCCAACGTCTTCATCTCCGGCTTGCTGCAGTGCTCCGGCAAAGCTGAGTGCAAGTTGGAAGAACAGCACCTCATTTTCCACTTGGGAACCCTGCAGTTTTCTGGACTTAGTATCGAGTTCAACAATTTTAGGGCTTGAGCACCTTTTCCCATGAATTCCCCCACTCCCACAAACCAGGCCTTGTCATTACATGGCTGCACATTACCTGCTGTCAGCCAAAAATTGTCCCCATTTGCAGCTATTCATTCCTGCAAACTGACCTTTAATCACTGCTTTGTCTGTCCAACTGTTTTTCTGCCTCTTTGGGCTTTATCTCCACCTATCAAAGAACAATACAGCACAGGAACAAGCCCTTTGGCCCTCCAAACCTGCGCCAACACATTATGCCTTTCCATACTAAAACTGTCTTCACTTACAGGATCCGTATCCCTCTATTCCCTTCCTATTCATGTATTTGACCAGGTGTTTTTTGAATGCTGCTGTTGTGTCTGCTTCCACCATCACCTCTGGCAGCGTATTCCAGGTACTCCCCACCCTTTGCATGAAAAACTTGCTTCTCACATCTCTTTTAAACTCCACTCCCTACCCCCATGCAACATTGAACCTGTGTCTCCTAGTAATTGGCCCCTCCACCTTGGGGGAAAAAGCTTTGTACTTTCCACCCTATCCATTGCTATTCACAATCTTTTAAACTTCTATCAGGTCATCCCTCAACCTCCTGTGTTACAGTGAAAAACAAACCGAGTCTATCCAACCTTTCTTCATAGCTAAAATACCCCGTACCAGGCAACATCGTGGTAAATCTTTTCTGTACCCTGTCCAAAGCATT